TGCTATCGGTGGCACATCAAGCGCGACTGGTGCAGCAGCTGGCGGCGCCTCGACGGCGCCGGCCAGCGACGGCGGCCAGGGCGGAGCATCGTCGGACGTCGGGCCGCTCTGGCTATCGGCCATCGGCAAAGAATGATCTTTGGCGTCGCGACGGGTTCCGGAGCGTATCCGGATTCCATCGCTCGGCTTTATTTGAGGCCATCGCGATCTACCGAGCAGCGGTGGCGGCCTAAGAGCTGGCATAGAGCAGAGCACGCGCACGCATGGAGCAGAGCATGCGCTTCGAAGGAGCTACTAGCACCCTGTAGGCGGCCACAACGCGGAGGAAACGACGCTACTGTATTTACTACTTGGCTCGCCATTGACCACGCTCGGTGCGCTGCGCGAGAGGAAGGCCTACGAGCGCTTGTGCATGGTCCAGACGATCGACTGGCCGAGGCCGCTCATGCCTTGAATCTCGAACCCGAGGCCCTCGAGCTTGTTGAGCACGGCGCGCGGTGGCGCCGAGACGGTATAGTGCCTACGCCGCCGCCGTCGCCACAAGCCACGGCGTCGCAACGTACTTGTAGGTTTGGCACTTGGCCTGCACGAGGCGCGCGCCCAGCGTCTACGCACGCGGGATGACGATCGCCTGCTGCTGTCCATCCTGCGATCGATGGACGCACCTGCATGAGCTCGGGGTCGGAGGCCTCGTCGCCCACGATCGTCGGGCCTAGTACGTTCGCCGTAGGTCGCACGCTGGCGGCACGACGTCGTACCTGTCGTCACGGTCACTTCGGTGCTCACGAGGAGGTACATGCTGCTGCTCTCGGTCAAATCGGCCACTGCAGGTTGAAGCTCCGATTAAAATCCTTTCCAAACCGTCTCTTGCTTAAAGTATTTCTCATGACTGTCTCTGTGGCGACATCAGAAACGTGCGCAACCGTAGACTCAACGAATAAAAATATTGTAATTAGACTAAGAATTGGACCAAAGCGATGTATCAAAGTCGACTCAAATCCGCACCAGATGCAGCTACTCGGCAGCTGCCGGCATGACGCACGACGAAGCGCCTGCCATCTACACCGTACTAGTACTGCCGCGTCGTTTACTAAGAGTAGTACGCTGCCTCCATGGCTCTAGACGCTACCTCAACGGAGTCCGGTACCCTCTGGAGGCCGACCCCTAACCCCGAGTACATTTTGTAGCTGCAACCGCATTACAAAGTTATAAAATGGACTGGACAACACGAGGTACTAGGAGACGCTCAGATGGTGACGGGCCGCGACGGCGTCTGGTCCATGCTGCGCGGGTCGAAGAGTGAGACGAGCTTGGGCTCGCCGAACTCGTCGGTCGAGTCGCGCACCTCGTCGTGGCTCTCGAATTGGTAGAAGGACGCGGCGCGCTGGTGGAGCGGGCTCGAGAGGTCGTGCTCAGGGAGGATCACGGTCATCGAGTCGTTGAGCGACTCGAACGGGATCTGGACGAGCACCTTGTCGAAGAGCGTGATCTGGTAGCCGGGAAAGAACCGGTCGTCGCTGCTCGTGCGCACGAGCCACATGATGAACCAGACCGCGATGAGCCAGTAGCCGAGGAACGCGAGGTGCTCGACGAGCACGACGGGGTCGACGAGCGACGTGTTTTCGGTGCCGAAGCCGAGGACGATCGTGCCGATCGAGCAGCTCGTGATGATGAGCCCGTACATGGTGCCCATGTTGTAGACGCCGTAGAGGTCGATGAGGAAGCACGGGATCGTGGCGTAGCCGCAGCCGCAAGTGAACGCGAGGATCGTCGTGCACCACTCGTACTGCGCAAAGTTGTGCGCTTCGACGGCTTGCTGGAGGCGGAGGATCGTGATGCACTCGGCGCCGACGAAGAACATGAAGGCGATCTTGCGCGCGAAGGCCGGGTTGGTGTAGAAGACGCGGATGATAAAGTCCGACATGCTCGGCGCAATGAGGCGACCGACTACAGACGCGATCATCGTGTTCTGCGCGACCCGGTACGTCGCCTCATTGTCGTCGTGCGTGAAGATGGTGACCGTGACCGGCACGAGGCGCTGCGAGAAGGAGACGTTGGGCGCGATCGAGGCCGCAAACGCGATGTAGAGCAGGAGGAAGTCCGTCGACATGAGGCACTGGAGCAACGACAAGGCTTTCACCTGCTTGTAGTAGTAGCTCTGCGTGCCCGGCGACCCGGCGCGCATCGCGTCGTAGTTGACGAGCGTCATGCCGCAGTCGAGGTACTCTTCTTGGACAAAGCCGGCGCCCGGGAGGTTCGTGTCGACGGCGATGCAGTGCACGTCGAGGCCGTTCACAATGTACATGGGCGGCGGCGACCGCATCACGACGGTGCTCAAGGCGAGGATCGGGCCGCAAATCGCCATGACCATGAGGAAGACCGTGTATAAGGGTGCGGTGTTGACGCTGTTGTCCGCGCCGAGGTAAGTGAGGAAGAAGATGGCCCAGCCGGAGAAGCCAACGCCAAAGCCCGAGCACGTGACGCCGATCGCGATGCCACGGTAGTCGGGGTACCATTTCTGCGCGGTCGAGAACGACGAGAGCATGACGATGATCGTACCCGTGCCAACGCACGAGCCGAACCCGAGGGTGAAGAACCAGTACGACTCGACGAGCACCGCAATGTGGCTCATGACGAGGCCCACCATGAAGAAAGCGCTGCCGATCATCATGCCGACGCGCGGCTGGCGACGCTCGAGGGCCGGCCCGACGGTGGCGCCAACGACGCCGACGAAGCCGCACGCGATGAGCTCGGCGTACGTCGTCGGGAGGTGCTCGGCCGTGACCGTCTTGAAGAAGAGCAGCTCGAGCGTGCCTGCGAGGTTGACGTAGGCGTACATCATGCCGCAGACAAACTGCGCCAAGAAGGTCATCAGAAGCACGTGCCAGCGGTGGAAGCGCAGGCCGCGCCACGTCATGAGCTCGCCGTTGCCGCACGGCGACGGGAAGGTGAAGAGCCAGAGCTCGCCCGCGACCTCGAACGGCGTCTTGCTGGGCACCGTGATCGTCCAGTAGCGAAGGAACCAGTCCATGGTCAATTGCAGAATGAGCTACCGAGCGAGCGCCAAGCTAGCAGTCTCGAAATGGGGTCGTCGCGCCATCCCCTTGAACGACAACCAACGGTTCGTTCCGTACGATCCAGAGCTTCCCAATCTCATTATGGATTCGTCTTGTCATAAGCAGCTCAATGGTGCACGTGCCAGCAGCAGGCAGCCATGGCATCGCCCGCAACGTGCCGCCGACACCCCGGCCCCGACCGCTCGCATTACGAAAAGGGGGTGCTCCTGACACCCCATGGCAGACAAACGGTACCCTAGTCCTCACCGTTCGACTTGCCTCAGACCAGGTGCACGCAGTAGTAACGCGGCTTGAAGCAGATCCAAGTTGCTAACGTCTCTCAGTGTGAGCTTGGACAAGGTCGAGAGTAGCCACGGCAAGCGAGCGCAGCTGCCGCTGCGAGAAGACCCGAGCGATAGGCCGACAGCGTATGAATCAACGTTGGGAGTGAACCAGTATCTCGGCCCACAGAGCGCCACGTGTACATATCCAGCCGACGCCATATTGAAGGACATGGAGCACTTTGAACATACAATTGCACTTGTTGCAGACGACGTTAAAGTACATACCGGTAGATAATTCAATGTTGTGCATCCTCTTCTGTGATGGTGCTGGCCTCGCCCGAGCCCACGTCGACGACGGCGTGGTCGTCCCAGAGGAAGAACGAGCTGCGCGCCGGGCTCTTTCCGCCAGGCTGGTGGGCGACGATGCTGCTGCTGCTCGACGAGACGTCGTCACGCAGGGTGTCGGACACGTTGCGCCGAAACGGGATCTGCACAAGGACGCAGCCACAGGCCGTGATCTGGTACCCGGGGAAGAACCGGTCGGTCGAGCTGGTGCGCACGAGCCAGAGCAGCATCCAGGCTGCGAATAGCACGTAGCAGAGCGCGTAAAGAACGCCGGTGAGCGCCGACGCGTCGGCCACGTCCGTGTTGGTGAGGACGAGGCCGACCGCGATGACGCCGCCGCACCAGCTCGTCAAGAGGAGTCCGTACATGGTGCCCATGTTGAAGACGCCGTACAAGTCGCTGAGGAGGCACGGCACGACGGCAAAGCCGCCGCCGGTCGCGAACGTCATGACGGTGACGGCGATCTGGAACGTCGCGTAGTCTGCGCTTGAGATCGCATGTGCGATGAGCGGCAGCATCGCGCACTCGGTGCCGAGCAGCACCAAGAGCGTCACTTTGCGCGCGAAGGCCGGGTTGGCGTAGAAGACGCGCACGACGCCGTCCGAGAGCAGCGGCGCGAGGAGGCGTCCGAGGAGGCTCACGAGCGCTGGGACGCGGGCAAAGGCCATGGCCGCCACGTCGTCGTGCTGCGTGAAGTGAGACGACGTCATGGGCACGAGCTGCGACACGAAGAGGATGCTGGGCGCGACGGTCGCGGCGAACGCGAGGTAGAGCAGCGCAAAGTCGGTCGAGAGAATGCACTGCGGTAGCGAGAGGGCTTTGACCTGCTGGTAGTAGTGGCCGTCCGTGCCCACGAACGCGTCGTTCGAAGCTCGGATCGCGTCAAAGTTGACGAGCGTCATGCCCACCTTGAAGAACTCGTCCTGCACAACATGGTGCGCCGCGTGCGAGTCGACGGCCACGCAGTGCATGTCGACGCCATGGACGACGTAATTCGAGGGCGGCGATCGCAGCACGACGCTGCTCAGGACCAAGACGGGGCCGATAATGGTCAAGGAGGTCGAGAAGACGTGCGCGAGGGGTGCGCTGGTCGTGACGACGTCGGTCGTCGTCGCGAGATGGAGGAGGCTCATGTAGAGTCGGTTCCAGAGCGTGAGGCCCGCGCCGAAGCCGAGGACGCTGACGCCCATGCACGTCGCGCGGTAGTCGGGGTACCACTTTTGCGCCGTCGCGATCGACGAGAGCACGAGAAGCCCGACGCCGGCGCCGAAGAGTACGCCGTAGCTACATGGACACGATGAGCTCCGACGGGACGTGGGTCGTACCCGAGGATCAAGAGCGCTTCGGACGCGACGAGAATCGCAATGTGTGCCACGAGCAGCCCGAGGCACGCGCAGAGTGAGCCCGCAAACATGCCAACGCGCGGCGCGCGGCGCTCGAGCGCTGGTCCGCTGAGCGCGCCGGCGACGCCCAAGCAGGCCATGGCCACGAGCATGATGCGCGTCATGGCTGCACCGTCGTCGGTTTCGCCAAAGTGCACATTGAGGCTGTTGAGGAGCGCCGGGTAGGCGTAGATGGAGCCGCAACACATCTGCGTACAGAAGGTCGCGGCGAGCGCGTGCCACCGGCGGAAGCCGACGCCGCGCCATACAAAGAGGCCTGGAAGCGCTACGAGCCATGGCTCGGCCTCGACCTCGGCCTTCGTCTTGGCCGGCACGGTGATGCGCCAGTACATGGCGAAATCGAAAGTGCAGAATGATCGAAACCGTGGGACCCATTGCATTGGATTGGCGTCGGTTCAGTGTCACCAGATCTGGTGCTGCCTTCTGGTGCGTGTGACGGGACCCTCGGAAGATTCCGCTTTACCACACGCTGACACAGCGCTCCGCGTACGAAGCCGCCGTCCGCAAGCCACTCTGGCATGGGTGTCGATCAAGGTGTCGAGCAAGAACGGGGAGCACGATGTATTGGACCTTGCCCAGTCGGCGCCCAGTTAGCAATGTGGGCGTAATACTTGATGAGACTAATGACCGGTAGTTCGCAGAGGAACGGCGCGTTGGCATCTCGTTGAAGGGCAGATGGCGCACCCCGGCCAATTGGCGCTCGCGTGTTGCCGTTGTGCGCAGTCAGGAAGCGATGCGATTGGTTGAAATGTCCTTGTGTTTCCATTGTCGCGCATTCTGATTGGTTTTCTCAAACATCATTTCGCTACGCCACGTCATTTAGAAGCGTTGCTCGGCTGCATTGTGGGCTCTGCTGCATCGAAGATTTGGTGCCGGGATGCACGCAGCGAAGAGGTGCAGAAACTCGTTCTTTAGTAGCGCGTTCAGCTTCCTGTCGTCGCCCGTAGGATGCGATGCGTGACTTGTTCGGTGTCTTCCGGCTTTGAGCTTCGAATGGTAACAGTGTTGCGTCGTCGATTGCGTCGTCGAGCCTTCGGCGGCATTCCGACACGACAGGTGGTCGCGTTCACGCAACCAAAAGAAGCATATGCGCAGGTGGTGGCGCGTGCGGGCGATCGGGGCCATTGAAACTAGTGAGTCACCAGAAGAGGTGTGCGTTCTTTAAAGGCATGCGCGCGGTATGGCAGCTCGCACTCGACTTCTGATTTAGAAGTCGCAACTTCAACAACCTGAACAGCGATAGAGCGCTGGAGCGTAAGATAATCACCGTCGGTCCAGTGCGCACACAGGTATCACCAAGAGGCACCAAGAGGAGCCGGTCATAAGATACAACTTTCAGTACCGCCATGCCACTGGCGACTGGTAAGAACAACGATGACATCAACGTCCAGTTCTGAATATCACGACGATGCTATGGATTGCTTTTGAGAAACTGACGACACCCCACCACCATTGCGTTGTCAATGGATTTGGTCTCCGGTGCTCCTCAAGCACCGCACACGCGTCAATGTCGAGGCCCGGCAGCTCAAAGTGCCGCCGCTATCGAGCATGTTCAGCTGACTTCACTCAGACACTCCGAGAGAGATGTGGAAGCGCCGAGGCTCGGGTTCGGGCGGCGCGACAAGAGAGCAAACTCACGCCAGTTGTAGCCTACAACTGGCGTGAGTTTGCTCTCAGAGTTTGGTGGCCGCGGACAGGTCGGGGGTGCTGCACCCTACCGCGCGACAGGATTGTCTAGCGGAGATCCATGATGATGCCTCATGGCGCAGCTGTGTCTGCTCGACACTGGCACATAAAACCAAGTGGAGGAGCACTATTGCAAGCCCACGGACTGGGGTCGCGGCAACGTCGGTCGACGTTTCTCATCAAGGCCATCGACGCTATCAACGCACCAAACTCGCGTCTGTAGCCTCCTGGTACAAACAGCCCGACACCCGCCACCGAACCGGTGGCTCGCATCATTCATTGCATCTGCAGCAGAATGCTAGAGCTCCGAGCCCAGAGCACGAAGCTCCCAGAGCTCTACAAACTGCATCAGGATGAGTGAGTCAGAACACAATCGTACAACGGTCTTTTCGAAGAACGACCAAGCAAGTTGTTGTTCCGAGTGCAAGCTACCTATTTTCTAACTATCTATTCACAAACGAGCGCAATCGCCTTGAGTCTCAGCCTGCCAGCCAAAATGATTTCCCACTGACCTCCTTGCGCGCGTCTGCATCCGTGCACGCATCCCATTTGTCACAAACCAACTGGTAGATACTCAGAAAGGCGCCAGCGTGCTATCATTTTAGGTTCGCATCGTGCTGCCACGTCATCGACATATACCACTCTCTGCGCTCTCACCCCCACTCTCCTCTTGCAATTTGTATGGTGACTGGAAAACGCGCGGAATCTTCCAAGCCATTCGCTTCCCGGTATCCACGGCACCCATGCGTGACCTCGTGGCCAGCGCGAGGCGGTTCTGACGCATTTCGGGATGGCCTGCAGCGCCCTCTCGCGCTACTGGACAATCAATGTGCCTGCCAAGACGATGGCCGAGGAGGTGGCCGAGGCCCACCTCTTCCTCTGGCCCCTGCGCCACGACCGGTTCGCCGTCGCCGCGTGCCTCCGCTTTAGCCGCTGGCACCTCTTCTTCGCCGTGCTTCTGACGCAGTTCATCACAGGCTCCATCTACTCGCTCGTGAGTCTCTCGCAGCCGCTAGACGCGTTCT